ATCATGCTATATGCAATGGCGGTAGTGAAATTTTGACGAACGAGGTCGCTTTCAGAATTCCCCAAGTTGCGGCACACTTCTGCAAATGCCTCATCTTGCCCCCTCATCACTGTCAAGCCAATGGCTTCGGACTGGGCTGACTTGAGGAGATCTCCGAGTGTCGCGAAGCCAAAGATGGAGAACGGGATATCCTCAATCGGATCACACTCCAACCAGGTATACAAGAGTTGGCGGGAGAACAGGCGGAACAAGGCTTTTGGTGATTCCAGTCTCAGTGTGTTTGACACATTGATCAAGCATCGAGTTGCATACTGAGTTGAGTCTAATATCTTTCCTGGGGTTTCAAAAATGTGATATGTACATCTCCGAAGCAATGTCGACCAACGGCAGGCGAGATTTGACAAAACTAGCAAGCGGAATGCGATGCCAGTGGTATCGAGAGGATTGGTTGGTAAACTATCCAGCACATCCACAAAAACTTCATCGTGAAGCTTGAGAACAAATAGATCGAAAACGCTAGCGATCCTCTGGGAGATAGCGAATTTGACCAACATTGGACTTTTCTTCAGGATGTAAAGTAAACATGTTCGAGGCGAATCAAGCCCTTGATCTTTGCCATACTCTGTGTTGGTTCGGAGCAGGGTAAACAATAATCGAACCATTGATGTTTGGGCCCTTGGCGAGAATATGTTTGATGTGAGACAGACCTTGATGAAGTGATAATAAAGATCGCCCACTCGCTCCGAGAGATGCAGTTTATCGTTCAGCCAAATGGGGTGAAGCCCATCAATCACTCCGATACAAGTGCTTAGCACAACTTCGGCACACTGATAATCAGGCTGACCAATATACTCCCCAAGTCTTTCAATGATGGCAAGCGCGTTGTCTGGGGTAACAACGAGATCAGAGGTAAAAATGTCCAATAGCAGGTTTTGGCACATGAGTAAGTCATCGTCCGGCAAGTTGATGAGATGTTCCACGTAGAGATCAGGGATGAGGCCAATCTGCCCGACGTCGTCATTTATTATAGACAGAAAATGCAGCCGCGTCCTCGTATCTGTATAGAAAGCCTGCGTATCCAACTTCATCTGGATGTCGAAGCGTGGGACTACCGTTGGCGCATGAATCGAGCTTGCTCTGCTACTTTGTGAGTCAAAGTCCTCGTCAATGTCCATTAGGTCGATGCTGTTGTCATGCTGTGTCTGGTGCTTTTGTTCTCCAAGTGAGCTCCACATTCGAGAAAAGAGTTGCAGGAGGGCAGGGTTGTTTGCAAAAGCCCTGTTGAGGCTTGTCGTATTTAAATCAGGCATAATGGGCCGGACGGCTCGCAGGATTGAATCAACAAACGCATTGGGCTCAACGGACGTCAGGGCGGAGTGCATTCCTTTCTCTAGAATCTCTTTGAGAGTTGACTCAACGGACGAAGACTGAGTCGAGTTGATATCGGCAAACAATGGTAGCAACAATGTGCCCGCCAAACAGGCCGATACAAGACTTTGGAAGCGGTCAAAAGAAATTTGTATACCACCTTCATTCATCTTCTTTGTCCACGACGTACAAAGCTCCATCAGCTCACCCAATTTGGGGTAAAAGAGTTCGAGGGTGAGTTTTTGGGAAGCATAACGCGTGTTGGCATCCGCCAACGGTGGTGAGCTTGCGGGCTTTGAAAAGCTGCAACTCCGGGCTGTTGCGGAATTGTTAGATGCATCTTCCGATAGGAGTATGTACCGTGTGAAGGACTCAATCTCTTTGAATGAACTCCAGGTCTCTGCCAATGGGCCTCCTGGAGCTGCGGGGTGGGTGGCCAACTCCAGAGTTGTTGTTCCACAGCATGTTCGAATTAGGTTCACCAAGTGAATTGGCTGAACGTGCAAGGAGTTATAGGATGCGAAAGCAGATTCATCTATAGGGCGTTAAAGTTTATTCGAGTTCAGGACAACAAACTCACTTGGGTTCCATCTTAGAAACACCCACCGAATGATATGATGACATGTACTTTGGCTTGCACTCGGGACTTTCGCGTTCCGTAAATGAAGAACATGGAACATCAAGCTGATAGAGGCATCACTCAAGGTGCTAGGCCCACTGACATCGGCAGTTGTAACCATGTTATTAATGTCCTGCGAAATGGTGTGATAAGGGAGGATGTCTGCTTCAAGCAGCTGGTGTAGAAGCACTGCGGCTGCTCGGCTCGTTCCTGGCAGACTGACGGATCGTATGGCGAACCGCCAGAGCTGATGCCACATGTCCACTTGATCATGACAGCCTTCCGAGTAAGCAATACAGCTGATGATGTTAGCAGTATGCCCCGTAGGACAGTGCCCATCGAACGGGTGATCTTACCTTGCAGAGGCAACGAGGGCCCAAGAAGCTGTAACCGGGTTCTTGTCATTCGCCAATGATATCAAATCTGGCAATAAGTCGAGAAGTTCTTCACGACTTAATGAATTATGAGCTAAAAGAAACGGGATCAACTGCAGGGCAGTCCTGCAGATCAAGACATCGACAGCCTTCAGCTTGAGCCGGATGCGACTCGAATTATCTTGACGAGTTCGCCGTCTTTTGCGCGGTTGCTCATCTTGTTCGCCATTATCATCTCCTTGTCTTCTCAGATGAGGCAGCGCCATGATGCCTTCGAGGAATGCCAGATTTTGGACGACAGCCCAATGTCCCTCGCCATAAACATTATGTGATCGGAGGCCAAAAATATCCAGCTGTAGGCCATATGTGGGCAACGAGGATAAGGCAAATGTGATGTCGCTCATTTGGAGGCGGAATGCTTCACCACGCCTTGAGTATTCAGACCATATGTTCTCTACCAAATCTTCCAAGTCCAAGCGTATGGTTTCATCCGACGACCTAAGAGCCAAGTGCTCTATGTGAAGGTGTGTCAAGAGTATACTTCTACAGATCTCTATTCTTAATGCACGGATGACTTCATCCTGAGATACTTTCTCTGATCTCCACCAGTAACCCATGAGCGGCACCAGTGTTTGCACCAGAGAGCTGGCGTGCTCCAAATCATCAGCGTGGGTAGCAGAGAACACAGCATTGATGATAGCGAATGCCAGAGTCTGCAAAGAGCCAAGACTGACTTGCTTGAGACTCAAGACTCTGAGAACTACTGGCGTGATATCTTTGAACTGCCGAAGTAGGGGTGCATTTCCACCGACAACAAGATAGTACAGTCCTTCCAAGACATCTTTCAGTAAGCCACCCTCACCAGGGGCAGCTCGTCTCTGACTTTGGGTCGATGGAGTTGATCGTCCGCCAGATCGGCCATATCCTGCTGATCCTGGAGCTGGTGATGATCGAACCAAAGCCGGAGATGCTCGGGCCAATGCGCGGGTCGAAACATCTCCCTCGTTAGGAAGCAAGAACTGAGCAACACCGAGGAAGAACCCAACACAGAGCTCCCAGGGGTGGCCTTCCTTCCTGGAGAGAATCTCTACGTGGGCCGGCCTGGAAAGCACCTCGGTCAGGGCTTTGATGTAGTCCTGGAGTAAAGGGGGCACGAAATCGTCATTAGGTCCTGGAAGAACTTGGGTGATGTGGTCCACGATGGCGAGAAGTGTCTTTCGTCCAATCTTTGGGTTACCACGTCCCACAGTCATGCGTACGGCATCGGCACATTTCGATAGCCGAGAGGTCGTGGCATTTATTGTTGTTTGAGACTTCTTCTTGTCATAGAAAATAGGCTTCTCCCGAAGAACGAAACTGAAAATAGCTTCAAATATCTCATGGTAACTCTTGTCACCGAGGTCGGAGCTTTCCATTGTCAGAGTGATCGAAAGGGGGTTGCTCCGTGCTTACAGATTTGTAGCTCGATTCCGTGGATTAAGAAGATGCGCCAGTTCTAAGATGAATGTAAGCTCTCCAGGTCTAGAAAAACCAAAGGCAGATATACCGTCTACAGCTTTTTCTCTATCTCTGACTGAGCCGGCCTTCACATCACCTAGAATCGGGCATGTTAGTAGGTGCAACCATCAAGAAAACATCATTATCCATAGGTTACGAACGCGCTAGATTCATAACATTGAATCCATGAGACGAAGCCATAATGAGCGCGAGTAGATGCGACCGCCATAAAAGCTTCCTGCTCCTTCATTGAAATATCAAATCGTCATCAGAGCTAGGTGAAGATGAGGTGAAATACACAGGTGGTGCACAAATCCGCCAAAAAGCGCGACTGAAGATTGTGCCTGCTGTACGTATTATGCAAATATCCGATGGTCTAAGCTCGTTTGCTCGACAACCAAGGGACAGTGGAGGCCGTATAGTAGGTACCTTACCTTGGGAAAAGTAAGGTTAGTACTTAGGTATGAATATGTAGAACAAGGAGAGTACAGCCACGGGACAAATTGAAGTAGTGAATGACTATTCGGAGAAGAATCGCAAAAAGATTGCAAAACAGGAACGCTTCCTTGAACGCGGAATAAGCTGCAGCTACAGAAAATAGGCACCCCTCAGCATCATACCCATGGACGCTGTATAGGTGCCGACTTACCTTTGCTAGAGGGGTCATGGTTTAGAAAGGCTCTATGCTGTTAGTTTGATTTCTTGGTGGCAAAACAACTAAAATACATCATTCCTATCTTTAACTTCTAAAATGACAAATATGATTTTCTAATGTTGACTCTATCGCTGTTCTTAGGTACTTTAGATAATAAATCATTGAGAGACGATTGCAGGGCCTAAAAGCGTGCCAATTTTTTACAGCATACCTGCGCTGAGAGCTCCTAGAGCTTTCAGGCGGCAGAAAGCTTCTCACCGCCTAAGCCACTGGGATGCTAACCAATCAAATAGCTCGATGAGCTCACCTACTGGGGAAGTCAACAAGTCTCAAAGTGAAGAATCTCAAAACCGCGACCACTAACAACCATCGACAAAAAGATTCAACATTTACGACACGTTACGCACCACGGTGCAAATCTCGCAGCTTGTATTCTACACTCGCTGTCGCCCTTTTCATCAATATGCGACAGTATTGAACCATAAAAATGGCCGAGATCACCGCTTTAGATGCCCTCCAAGCTTTCCATCAAGGGCTTCTATCATTACGCGAAGGTCGCGTTGAGGGCGCAGAGGCTCTGGGCAACGAATTTCTAGTACAGGTCTTTGAAACAGAATTAGGGAAATTATGGGATAAACCAGCAAGGAAAGGGGACAAAAGAAATGCTGTCAAGTCTGGTAAGGAGTTTGTTGGCGTAACTCAATGTTCTCTCTCATCTAACTGATTGCATAGGCAAAGTTGTCATTGACGGTGACGAATACTCAATAAACGACAACTTCCAGCAAGATGTTCTCACCTTTTCTGACGAGGTAGAACTCGACGAGCTCGAATCTACCCGCTGTTTGCTTGAATCCCAAGAGGACCCCGACACGCTGGGCCGATCCCTTCTCGAATGTGCCATTATACGATTCCACCAGCAGCGCAAATACGTTTTGGACATTGTTAGACTTCTTCTCGAGCTAGAAGGCCTCGACGATGATCTTGCCGACGCCGAAGCTCTCGAGAGCGTCAAGCTCTACGTGGCTGAGCGTTTGCTTCAGCCAAGCATGGGGGCAGATGCTACAAAACGGATAGTACCTAGGTGCATGGCTTCCATGAAGGAGATTAAGGCCTGGCTTCAGAAGATAGGAGACAAGATCGCTGCTGCCCAAACTCTTGGCCAAACTACGACAGGGGGTATCTCTGAACAAATGGAGACTATCGAGTTCTCCAGGGTCAGCTTAATGCAACAACACGAACTACTAGGTGTCATCCTCTGCCGGAGTATTGAAATGAGACAAGGGTCAACACAAGACTTTCTTGACTTCGTTTCGGTTCTCCAGAAAGTTGATAGGTATGATGCTCTGCTGGTCCACCTTATACCATCAATCGGGGCGTACATTTCGGTGTTCGGGTCTGCGGAAGGAGGATATGACCTCATCAAGGCTCGTGAGCTGAATGGGAAACTCTTTCCTGCGGACAGTCCTCTGTGGCCTTTATCTCAGCTACAGGCTGCTTTTCGTGCTTGGTGGCTCGCCGAGTATAGTGGTTTTTACGTGGATGACCCTCCGGAGGCTGCAATCCCCCCCAACACTGACCTGGATGAGGAGGATCGACAACGATCAAAAGCTTTCCTAGAGTCTTTGAAGGATGGATCATTTGACTTTCTTCTCTCCATCGCCGCTGATGTAAAGTCTCCTGATTGGCACGATCCTGTGAGAGCAGGCATGCGCAAATGGCTTCAACGAAAGTCCCCCGCACTAGCACCAGATGCGATTCCGTTCGCGGACTTCTTCCAATTGACACTGATGCTCCAGCTTGAAGTGTTTGTCGATGGCTTTATCTCTAACCTTCCCGACGTCCTACGAAAGCTTCGTGTGGAGGAGGATGAGCAACGCCAATCCAGCCAGACTCACGAGCAAGATCTCGATCTCGAAAGATTCTTGTTGGTCATTGCGTACGCTTATGAGGGCCGACCCGATGCTGCTATGAATTTTTGGTCCGATCCAGACAGTAACCTGGCTGGCTTCATGCATTGGGCTTCTCGTAGAGCGTCAACACCTCTGGTAACAGCTTTCTGCGAGATGCTTCAGGCTATTTCGGAAAATGAGGAGTGCGCTTCTGCCGCACACGAATTCTTAATGGATGAGGGCCATCATTCATCTGGGAAGATGAGAAAATCGCAGTCTTTAACATGGGCACAAATCTTCAGGGAGCTAGACTTCTTCTCTGCCAAGATACGGCAGAAGCCGACACCGCCCCAGACAATTCGTTATCGAAATGAAAAGATGAGCAGTGATCAAGCAGAGACCGAGCCAGAATCGGCCATGATGCTTGAATGCTACCTTCGATTAATGTCAAAGCTGGCCAGCGAAAGCGAGATAACCAGACAGTTTCTCCTTCACAATCCCAACTATAGCCTGGTTGAAACATTGTATGAACTCGCAAGCAGTCCCATCCCCCCGCGTTTACGCGGCTGTACCTTTATGGCTCTACGGGCTTTGATGGCACGAAAGTCGCTTCAGGAGGGCATTCTTATGTGGAATTGCCTCGATACCTGGATCACAGGAGGGTACGCTTCTCATCCAATCACTCGCCAAGCTCAGCAATCGCCAATTGTCTCTATGGACCGTATCTTTGACGAGATTAGCAGTGGTTTTGAGGACCCCGAGTCTTTTATTCAACTCCTACTTTCTCTTATATCTCCAGCCATCGATAGCAGTCCCCTCAATGACGGATTGCCGTTCCCTGAGAATCTCGGTTCAGCTTCCCGTATGCCTGGTATTGAGGTTTATGTCGACTTCGTGATGGGACTGGTTTTTGCTACCAAGGCAAATGACCTTCAAGATGTGAACCAAACTCGCGTTCTTCGCCTTAGCTGCCTAGAGTTTATCTTGGTCTGCCTCAACACATTCAACGAAGATCTTATTATCATGGCTAATGAAACAAACATCAACGTCGATGGAGTCATCGCAACTACCGACCTGGCAACCTATGTTCGCATGCATCCTTTTGCCAGAGTGATGGAATGGATGTTTAACGACAAAGTCATGGCTGCTCTATTCAACACAATCCATCAAGAGCCCGTAGATGTTGGGAATGCTGCACCGGACTCGCCCCTTATTCTTGGCATCTTACGTGCCGTTGAGGTTATTAGCAAGGTCCTCGACCTCCAAGCCACCTATCTCGAGCTTGTTCGGCCCATCATCAAACTCCAGTCAAACCAGCGCCGGCCTCCTGTGTCGAACGCCGCATTTGCCTCATTTGAAGATGGCCTGGTAACTCGATTGAATCTTGTTGTTGACCTGGGCAACTACTGTGGCATCGGACACCCAGACCTTACTCTTGCATGCCTAAAGTTGCTCGAGAAGATGTCTTCTTCGTCGAAAATTACTGCTGTCTGGTCAGGCTCTAATCGTCAAATGCACCGTAACAAGGCTATTGTGGCCTTGGAGGCAAACGGTGAACACGAAGCCATATCCCGATCATTTGTCTCGGAATTGATAACCCCTCTCGAAATTGGGCGTGAGGCAGACTCCCCAGCTTATGTCACCAAAATTTACATCCTCGACTTCCTATATCAATGCCTACAAGAGACGCCTCGCAAGCCGACGATTGCACACTTGCTTCTCGGCTTCAAGTGCGGCATTGACTCTCTGTCCGTGGATGCTAAGGGCGCTTTCGCTTCGAGAACTTCTCTCTTCCACACCTTGTTAAGACTACTCCTGGAGGCTCCCTCTGGCGATGCCCAAGGAATGCGACAGTGGCTCATCGCTATCAAATCACGTGTGATGCGCATTCTACACATCCTTTGGAGTTCGCCCCTATCTGCACCTGTTGTGGTCGAGGAACTTCGTGACAATGAGATCCTCTTCCACCTTTTGTTGCGCGAAACAGTCATCAATCCTAATCTCCCATGGGAAGGTGAGAATGTCGCCATGGTGCAGTTCCCTGTGACAGATGGTGCTGTGGCTTTAATCGACTTCTTGTCTCTCCGAAGTATGGGCTTGGAATACATTGCTATGGAGCTTTGTAGCATAGCTCAGAATCGTATGCCCAGCGTGAAGCGCCGCATCTTTGAGGCACTAAATGGTCAGATTATTGGAGAAGGAAACACACCTATACCGATTCCAACTATTTTCGACCTCTATGACTTCCTCCTCCCAGAGGGCGTTTGGGAGATCCCATTGCCCCCTCTTCAATACTATAAAAATATCGATCTCTCAGCCTGTCTAGAGAACGACGCGGACTCCAACCCAATCTACAATCTCGAGCGTGTTAAAGAAGTTCTGCTTCTGAAACGAGGTGAAGCTCAAGGATCGGGAGCATTGATTGCAGCTCAGGATCTGGCTACTATCGAACGCGAAGAGGGCATGATAATAGAATATCTTATTTCTTCAAATCGACAGAAGCAGCTCACTACACAGAGCCTCAAGGTGCTGAAGACATGGACGAAACTTTTACTCGTTATGATCGAGTCGAACGACTTCAAGGGTTCAGCACAAACCTCTTTCTTCCTCCAGGCCCTACAATCGATTCTACCCAGCTTAGAAGCATTTGCTTCTGAACGGCCAGATGAGGCTTTCGAGCTTGCCCGGCTGGCCAAGGTCTTACTCTTCAAGCTTGACCTCTCAGCGTCAGCAGACGACAAGCAAGGCTCAGCCATTGGTAATCTCGTGAGTGACAAACTCTTTCAACTTTTCCAGATCTGCTTGCAAGCCATCGGCAAGTGGGCTGGAACCCCGGAGTTGAGATCCGTTTACTATGGTATCTGCTACCGCTACCTGATTGGCATGGATGATCAAGGATCTCTGATCTCGAATCGTCCTAAGACTATCAAGACGATCCAAGTGTATGGTGAGCGCTTGATAAATGTTATCTGCGATGATGCCTACGGTGGTGAAGCTCAATGCCAGACAGCGGCATTGATCCTACTCAACGCTCTCGTCAGCCTAGGTCGTCAGGAGAGTGATGACCATGTCGTGGAGACTCTCAACCGACTCAATTTCATCGGTATCATGGTGGATTCTTTGCGAAATATCATGCAAGAGTGGCATGAAGTCTTCACATCAGGTACGTTTTTGTTTGCTTCTTTGCCGAAACTACTGCTGACTCTTTCTTTCAGGCACCTCTGAGCAGCAGAATTACCAGAATGCTCGTCTTGCTTTACTCCTTGAGCTTGCGCAGACACGATCTGGGGCCAAGTACATCATCCATTCCAACCTTTTCCGGTCACTTGAGGATTCAGGTCTCTTCGGAGCAGATCCCGAGCTTCAAATAAACAACACCAACCCTCGTGCTCTTGAGCAACACTATGGCCTTCTTGCCCAAGTCGTGCGCATTATCGGTGCCGCCCTTGTCTCTCGCGGTAGCCACAACGTGGTGCAGGGTCGCAAGTTCCTCACAGAGCATCGGATGCTCGTCACCCATACCCTTAAACGAAGCGCGGGTATCGGAAGCGGCAACGCGGATGAGGGCCTGGATCAAAATATTGAGGAGTTGGCTGAAGGGCTAATGGTTATCATCGCAGCGACACGGTTCCTTGAGGTAACGCTTGCTCACTCCTTGAGATACACAACCAAGCAACTAACAAACTTGCAGTTCGAGAATGAAGTCCTTCCTGAGCCAAAGCAGCAGAGCCACGGTCTCTTCCACTAAGCCAGTCTAAGACAAGGAGAGACACCCTAGATATAATTTGCGATGACATAAAGGAATGTGTGTCAAGATGGGATATAAGCTGTAGACTTAGGCGGCGTTGACAGGATAGCGTGGAATGGAATATGCGTTGAGTGTGGTTTAGTCTGTACGGGTGAGATTATCAATCACGTTATTACCAAGACAAGACATGAAAAGCGACCTCCCTGTTGATTTTACCTGTTGTGAGTCTAAGCGCATGGTGGGATGGGTGTATGCTTTGAACAAATGAATTGCGCATACTCTGACATCTTACAAGTCGGTTCATAAGCACTGCCTCAAATATTCGACACTTGAGGTCGGCACAAAGCAAATCAAATTGTATCAGAGGTCTAAAGTCTATGCGCCATATACTGTTGCCTAAACACCAAATAGTTAACCCTATGAATGAGTCTCTGTGTCCTTTCCATGGGTACGGCACGATACGTATATCCCTCACCAACCTAGTTACTCCGAGTGCGCCATTTCCTGAGCGACGCAACAACCGTAGTCGCGTATTAAATCAATGCAGTCCTATGTTCCCCTTATCCATGTAAATGCTGGGTATCTTTATCTGACGCCCCAAAGTGACCCGCCCGCCGTAACGTTAAAGAAGAAAACACTATATAAGCCATGAGGGCATGTGGCGGTTGGCACAGTCCCGTACCTGTGACAAGTTCCAAGTATCCACGGATTTGGATTAAACGGAGAGCCACGTAGCAACAACGACGGTGCATTAGAGCTAGCCATCAAACTCTGAACCAAGTGCTCAACTGCGCCATGAGTTCAGAGAATCGCAGCATTCGCCCATTGTAGATGTTTGTCGATCACATCAAGACAGCGTATTGGCCTTGCGCTTTCCTTTCCGTGTGGCAGTCATGAGCTTCAGTTCAAGGGGCCAGTATCCCTTGGTCTTGCTGTTATAGCTCTCTCGAGGCTTCATGTCAAGTTTTTGACGGCACATGGGACACTTTCCTTTGGTGACGTCGACATGAAGAGACTGGTGCAAGCAAGAAGCGCAATATAGATGACCTGGGGCTATGTTAGGATCTTACATGAGTCTTCTTCAACACCAGGGGCGAAATTACTCACCACAATGTGTGACTGTCAGGTTGGAGCAGTCGTCCATACAGATGACACATTGAAAGGCAGCAAGCTTGACGCGATCATCCTTTTCTGGCTTCCGGACTTCCTCCAACACTTCGTTGGTCTCGGTCAGATCGATGGTATCGAATTCGGGCTTGGCTTCAATGTCGATGGGGGAACGAGTAGGGCTTGTGCCGAATGGCTCTTCAACATCCATGTCTTTTCTAGTTGCGGGTGACTTTTTCTGTCTCGACGTGGGCCGCGGGGGGGCCGCGGGCGCAGCAGTCGTCGATGTTCGTCGTCGCTTACTCGCGTGCGCTGAACCAGTTCGAGCAGCCGCGGCTGTGGTACTCCGCCGAGTTGTGGGCGGCATAGCTTCGGAGAAGGAGCTTGCGGGGCTGTCAAAGAAGAGGTCGTTCTCCTCGAGGGAGTCGAAAACAGGCAGTGATGCTTGAGATTCGCCAGTAGAGTTGCTAGCCGAGGAGAGCTGGGTTGTTGTTCGCTCAGGGCCGAAAGGGTGGAGGATGCAGTTGGTGGACGATAATTCTCGTGGAGCAGCAGTGGCCGTTGTATTTGTAGTGGCGTTGGTGGATGCGGCGGTGTTGCGGAATGCACGATGCGGCGTGGAAGCCTGACCGGTTGATTGAAGGCTTACGCTATGGTACTGACTCGGCCGTGAATCGGGGTTCGTGAACGGTGGGTACGATGAGGGCGACGAAAAATCACCATCAGCGAGGTCGGCGAGGAAATTATCTTCGATTTCGGAAGCGAGGAGTGAGTTCTCTAAATCGGCGTTATGCAAAGACTCGGGGTGGTCATTTTCCCAGGAATCTATTGGCGGAAGCTCAATGTGTGTTGATGATGCGCTCGCTGGTTCTCCCCAAGGTGATGTTTGGATATTCTGGGGTGGAGGGGAGTGGGAGGGCCTCGGCTGTTGGGTGGTTGTTAACGGGCTTGGAGTTCGATAAGTACGGAGGCGAGAGTTGGAAATCAATGGTGGCAAAGAGAAGTACGGTAGAGGTAAAGACGATGACGCTGTTGTCTGGCGAATGTGGGAGCGGCTCGCACCACCACCACCACCACTGTTGCTTCTGCTGCTGCGATTGCCGCTGCTGCCATTGGCATTGGCGCTGGTAGTGGCACTGATTCCATCAATCTCCAAGTCGATTGTCCTCTGAGAACGCGAACGCGGTTGTGTATTTGGGTGTGGAGCTCCAGCTCCGGCAAAATCAGGAGGTGACACTATCCTCGTGGTGGTTGACATGGAGATTGTGATCGGAGGAGAGTAATAGTCGTTTGCCGAGTTCAAAAACAAGTCCGCGTTGCCTATTTCAATCGGTTACAAAGGAACGTCAGGAGTTGACTTGCTACCGTGGAATACGTGGGGACATTGGATTCGGCTAGAGCGTAGCAGAAGCAAGAAGAGAGACAAAGGCAAGGCAACGCAAGGAAAGGAAACAGTGTCCAAAATAGTAGGTAGAGAAGTGAAGACGAGTTTTGGATTTCTAACCTTGCAACATATAAGAGAGTAGAGAATCCATATACAAGAATTCTTGCTCCATTGTTGGTGGGCGTCAATGTCACGGGAAGGGGAGAAATGGCACAAATTGCGTGGAGATGCACCACTCTTTAAACCACCCACTGAACCCGGCCTGGCTTTGGGCGGGCCGCCTTGGTCTTGAGCAGGGTTGAGCTTGGACTCGGGCTGTACGAATCGGATGTGAGTTGAAACCAGAAGCTTGGCTGACTGAGAGTGGAAGAAGGGATGAAACAGCCCAGGTCAATACAAAGACACAAAGACGCGCGATATATCAAGAGCAGGGAGAGTAACAAGGGCTCTTTGTATCGCAAAGGACATCCCATGCAGCAGATGATGGAAGGGTAAAGAAGTCGGGGACACCAAAAGGATGTCGGGCAACAGACAGTATGAGAAACAAATAACATCCATACGGATATACACACAGAATAACTCAACCGAACTCAAATGACCGGCGGCGGGAGCTGAGCCGAGCTGATGTGAATGGAAGTGACCGTGAGCCAACGAGGGGTCTCGGCCCTGCCAGCAGGAAGCCTCTTATTACCAGAAAACATCCATGCCTGTTGAGCAACCCTACCTAAGGTACCTAGGTAGGTACCTAGATTATCACCTATGTAGGTACTGTCTGGCATCCTACCTACCTACCTAGGTATGTACCTAACCTTATCTTACCCACCTCATTCACTGTTGTCTAGTTACAGAGTATGGGCTTTAGCAAAACAAGCATCATTCGCTCTCTTTGTCCACTCAACACAACCTCCACGTAGCAGCAGTCGATTTGACTGTTGACAGCCACAGTCAAAAGGCACCTGACTCTGGTGATATCATCAGATATCGAGACTCGGATATGCATACCTTTTTCCAGTGTCATCATTCCACCATCACTCGGACGATGGCGTTCGCGTTTGCCTTGGACAAGTTCGGGTCCCTGCATGATGCATATCGCAATAGGCCTCGACGATCCATTTCATGCGCGAGTGATACCAGAATTTGCTCAAGTCGATGTTTCCATTCAACACAACTCAATGAATACTGGTGCTCTGTGTTGCAAATCGTATTCATGGCAATTTCCATCGCTTGGGGGTGGGATGCACGAGTCCAGGCGCCACCGAAACTCTTTCCAGCATCAGGAACCTTTAGCTGAACTGGGGACTCCTTCGAGGGATGAACGGGGATTCCCTCTAACATTAGTGTTTGGTCTCATATCCTGACTTTCAAGCTAACAAGCTTTCATCTTGATAACACAAGGGTAGGTTGAAAGGACATTTTCAAGCTGTTGTGGATGGTCTTGGTGAGCTTTACCACTCCATCGTTCAACTACAAGACAGCGTGAAGACACCCAAGCATTCATTATACGAGATTTATATCTCCTATTATCAGCAGACAAGCCCTCTGAAGTGCTTTATATACAGTACAACACCCATAGGTATCTTCAGGGACATCGAAGCCAGTACTAAAGTCTAACCAGTAGTAGGCATTACTTTTCGTACGCCATACTACTAGGTAGGTACCTAGAGAAAATTGCAAGATGTGTGACGTTTGTAGCAAATCACCACATGCAAAAAGATTTGTCCACTGCCTTGTACTTCAAGACACCATCATTTATCATTCATTCTGCCATATCTCTTCTTTTGCAAACCCTAAGTTACCTTGCAAGCTTGCTTCAAACCATGCCCCTCCATCTTTTTAGACCCTTTGCATCCCATTCCCCACTCCTATCTGAAGCACATGGAAAAGACCCACCAAGAATGCACAGCGTCATCCACTTAACAGGGGTGTCACCTCACTAATTTGGTCAAGATTCATCCGAATGCCAAATTCATCATCTAGGGCTATCTCTTGCTTCTATCAAACCACAGCCTGGATATAGACGAAACAATACCGATACATCCTAGCGGATTAACTACAGTATCAGAAGCCGTGATGCTATCGTGCTGCACCTAAGTATGCTCATATCGGCTGCTGCTCAGCCGTTGCGCGGTTCGACGCCCAGCTTCATCCGAATTGCTCGACACCACGCTTTTCGTCGTCATGCTTTGCGCGCCCATGTCCGATGGCTGGCTGCTGCCGCCGACAACGTCAAATCGAACCCGAAGGGCACACTTGCACGTAAGAAAGGATGGATCATTCACAACCCTACCAGACTAACTTTACCGCAGTGCCCTCCGAAGCTCGATATAACGAGATAGGCGTCCAGCAACTCAGCTCTCACATATTTGATCAGATTTTCCCTGATGGTCTCAAACCTCCACCACAAGAGCTGGTCGAGTTATCGAGAGACCATCTAAGGCGCCATGACTTGCTTGGAAAGAATACCGATAAATCCGAACCCATAGCTTTCGATCTTCCCCCTCTCCAAGGGCGCACACTGGACGAACATTTTCACAAACTCGGACTGGATTGCGCCGAGCCGTATCTGGCATATGCAAAAGAGTTCGCCCGCGCCAATCCACCACCAAAGCCTCGGAAATGGATACATCAAAGCGGTTGGACGAAATATTACCCCGATGGTCAGACCGAAAAAGTCGATGCTCCTGATGAAGAGATGTTGTCGTTTGACACGGAAGTTATGTGGAAAGTCAGCCCCTTTGCTGTGATGGCCTGCGCTTCCAGCCCGACTGCCTGGTATGCGTGGCTTTCGCCGTGGCTGCTAATGGAGACCACCAATGATCGACAATTAATTCCATTAGGCGACCCGAATAAGGCTAAAATTATTATTGGACACAACGTTGGCTTCGACCGAGCGCGGGTATTGGAGGAGTATAGTGTCAAGCAGACTCGAAATGCCTTTCTCGACACAATGTCGCTCCACGTCGCTGTAAACGGTATGTGCTCTCAACAGCGACCTACCTGGATGAGACATAAAAAGAATCGAGAACTACGGGATCAAGTTGCGAGCAAGACTCCAGACCATGATTTAGCGGTATTGATGACCAGTGGTATGCATGATGAAGAAGAGCTCTGGGTTGAACGAAGTTCCGTTAACTCTCTCCGTGACGTCGCCAAGTTTCACCTCAATATTTCGATTGACAAAGCTCTTCGCGACGACTTCAGCGAATTGGATCGGGAAAGGATCCTGGAGAGACTAGACCAGCTTCTGGACTATTGCGCTGCCGACGTGTCAGTCACTCATCGTATTTACCAGATTGTTCTCCCCAACTTTCTAGAGACCTGTCCACACCCTGTCAGTTTCGCAGCCCTCCGGCATCTTTCGTCCGTTATTCTTCCTGTTGATAAGTCGTGGGATGCGTATATCACCAATGCCGAAGCTACGTACCACAAGCTCAATGACGCCGTTGAGGAACGACTTATTGGTCTTACTGATAAGGCGTTGGAGATCAAGGACGAGCCTGAGGCGTACACAAATGACCCCTGGATGCAGCAACTCGACTGGTCAGGTCAAGAGATCAAAATGGTCAAAGGCAAGCGGAAGCACGACCCCCCAAGACCTGCAGCTAGGCAGAAGAAGCCGGGTATGCCCAAGTGGTACAAGGACCTCTTTCAATCCAACGATGCCCCTATCAACATCACTGTTCGAACGCGAATCGCTCCTCTGTTATTAAGACTAGCTTGGGACGGGCACCCGCTATTCTGGTCTGACAAATATGGTTGGTCATTTCGCGTACCACGAGTGGAAGCCTCGAAATATGCAGCCAAACAAATGATCGAATGCAAGTTCGACGAGAAAGAGATCCATCTACGTGATGACCATGCCCATACCTACTTCAAACTCCCTCATAAGGATGGCCCGACGGCTCGCTGTGCGAACCCAATGGCAAAGGGCTATCTGGCTTACTTTGAGAGCGGCGTTTTGTCCTCCGAGTACTCATATGCTAAGGAGGCTTTGGAAATGAACGCATCATGTTCTTATTGGATCAGTGCAAGGGACCGCATCAAATCTCAAATGGTTATCTATCAAGAGGACCTTCCGCATCAAGACATGCAAGCTGAGACTGGGCACGAAGGCGAGGAGCCCAGTACTAACGGCTTTATCTTACCACAAATCATCCCAATGGGTACTATAACTCGCAGAGCAGTGGAGAATACCTGGCTTACCGCTAGTAATGCCAAGAAGAATCGAGTGGGCTCTGAGCTCAAGGCAATGGTGAAGGCGCCTGAAGGCTACTGCTTTGTGGGAGCAGATGTTGATTCGGAGGAGCTTTGGATTGCCAGCCTTGTCGGCGACGCAACCTTCAAGCTTCACGGCGGAAATGCTGTTGGGTTTATGACCTTGGAAGGCACAAAGGCTGCCGGCACCGATCTTCATTCGCGAACCGCTTCGATTCTTGGCATTACCAGGAACGATGCCAAAGTTTTCAATTATGGTCGGATCTATGGCGCAGGCCTGAAGTTCGCAGCGACTTTGTTACGGCAGTTTAACCCCAATCTGTCGGAAAAGGAGACACTGGAGACGGCTTCGAAACTATATGCCAATACCAAAGGCACCAAGACCAACCGCAAGGTGCTCTACAAACGACCCTTTTGGAGAGGCGGCACCGAGTCATTTGTCTTTAACAAGTTGGAAGAATTCGCCGAGCAAGACAAGGCAAGGACGCCGGTATTGGGAGCTGGTATCACTGAAGCTCTTATGGGACGATACATCAGCAAAGGTGGTTATTTAACATCGAGAATCAACTGGGCTATCCAATCTTCAGGTGTTGACTACCTCCATCTGCTCATCGTTTCCATGGACTACCTGATCCGCAGGTTCAACATTGATGCTCGGC